ATTGGGTTCGGGGCAGTGAGTGGGTTATCATTGCCCTACCCCCATTATATATATATATATATATATATATATATATATATATATATATATATATATATATATATATATATGTGTGTGTTCAAATCCTTTTGAAGTTAATTTCATGCATTTTAAGATAAAATACTTATTGTGGACAATTCTTTTAATTTTAACAATCTGGGTTGAATGATTGTTTTTTATGTTTTGACATATTAGACTAAACTTAAATCAAATAATTTTTAATATAAAAACGTCCAGTTTATTCTATTAAAGTGATGCATCATATTTTTAATCTAAAAGTGAGGCTAGAACATGTATTTTTTATAAGACAACGAGGTACCCTAAAACGAAATAAAGATTTCGTTATTAATTGTGGTGAACCCGATAAGATACCCGAAAACCAATGGGGCGCCCCGATAAGATACCCGAAAGATATCGAGGCGGGTTTCAGAAACTATGCCCCGCCCCGTTGCCATTCCTAGATTGAGTTGCAGCCCTTTTCATGTTGTGACCAGCTATGCATCACGTCGTGACCACTCTTTATAATAGCCCACAGGGCCATGCCAAACTATGCTAGGCGACGACACCTCGATGAACAAACTGGGGACTAGACGAAAGTGAACATGTGCCAGTCTGGAAAGATGTGCCCCTTGGGATATCTTTCCAACACCAACTCTTGGCCATCATAGCGGCGGGAAAGTCTCCTAGCGACAAAACGGTTTTAGCCGACAACCTAAGTGGTACATGCATCACCAACATCCTCTCTGAACTAATCACGACTCAAGACATGAAACAAAGGACACCTCCACCAATAATCATCACCGACCCGTATAAAGATTGATGCTCTTGTCCCCTAAAGAATGAGCTAATGCTTAGGCCTTACTTTATAAGGCCAACAGCCATGCATTCAAGTGTCAGTTCTCGCAGGCTAATACTCTCGCTACATCAATCTCGAATATATTGACTTGATCGTCGGAGCGTCCTCCCGGGATCTCCTCCTGGAGAACGGTTGATGAGTTTGCCACTTGTGTCTAAGGCTCGATAGCAAGAAGTCATCCCTCCGAAGTAACCCCAGGAGACCACTTCGCATCAACAACCAACAACGAAAAACCAAAATCACGTCTTATTAAAATCACCAACAAATGAAAACATATACAACAATTTTAAAGAATAAAATCATGTCTTATTAAAATTACCAGCAAATGAAATCACCCAAGGTGGGGTATGGTGTTTCTACTACGGTGAAAGGTCTAACTCTTCCTCGCTGCACTCTACGATGAGGGTATACCTTGTATACAAAGTAACGTGTGATAGAAAGCGATGGAACTGTTGGAATCTTCAATGTAGAAAGAGGCTAAAAATGGTGACGAAAAAGAAAAAAAGGAAAGGTGGTCCAATAAAAAGTATTTTATGTCAAACTATGTGAAAATAAAAGCATAAAGGCCATATTCGAACCTAGGGGTAAGCATAGGAGGTAACCGTCCTATTTGTCTAGAATCGGAACCAAAACTGATGACAGCGGTTCCTTAATTGTTGGAACCTAATTGTTTTATTTGCACTAGTTCTTTATTTATAAAGTCCTATCAAATCTCAACTAGTCTTAAACACAAAAGGCAGTGTACCTAGTCGTGAAATAATATAGTTTAAGGTAAAAAAGGGTGTCGAAGACAGGAAACGGGAATAGTTTAGATCAAATAATTCAAATGTTAATTAAATTAATAACAGAAAGGTAAAAATGGGGTTTTCGAGTATACTAAATTATACTAGTTTTAACGCTCAAATAATCAAACGAAACTAAAGAACTAAATTAAAACAAACGATAAGAAGTGCTTTTACTAGAATATGAATCCCCCAAGTTTCTATTTTTGATTTATTAGAATTGCAATAGATTAATGAGTTGATTACCGAATTCTAATATGACTAGTTATCTTGGTCGGATTTCCTAGTACTAATAATTAATGAACAACTAACACAATAACACAATGATCATGCAATTAGTGAACACATAGTAAATTAAATATATTCAAACTATGAACGATATGATCTACTGATTTCTTATCAATGGTCATGACAATCAATCAAAGCATAACATGGATATCTAATACTCTCTAACACAGTCAAAGTCACTAATTAATATTACCTAATCCTAGGATATGATCAATTACTAGTCCTAACAGTTTAATGGTCATGAACTAATTAAGATTCAAGTTAATGTAATTAGATTAGTCCTCCCAACTACACATAACTTAGTAATAGGCAATAAAAATCACAACTTTAACATGAAAGGTAAAATGATCAATCGAACTCAAGTATTAACTAAACTCACATAATCCAACTAACAAAATAAAAACATATTCAACTAGGGTTTATCAAGATCTAGTGAAAGTAAAGGTGTTTACACCATAATCAGTAAACTAAAGAAGAAAAACATCACCAAAAGATTACGAGACATGATCAGCAAGCAAACCCGAAGTGAAATCTCAATACAACAACGCTTGAATCTTCAAATCCTTGCTTCATTTGAATCTCTAGCTTCAAAATCGACCCCAAAGGGTTTTAGGACGTCAAAAACAAAGTAAAAATCGCAGCTATATGCTGCCAAAGGACCGATTAGGATTGGAAATCTCGTGTTTTTATAGATTTTTTTGCCTCCACAGCGTGACAATATTTTGCCACTGTGTGGCGATTGGTTTCCTTGTCGTACACGAACTCGTAGGCGAACATGGAGAGTTTTAGGAGATTTTTTATTCGTCATGTCGTGTGGTAAGAGGGCTCCCGTCGTGAGAAATGGAAATTCGCATTCGGCACAAAAACGAAAGTCATCCGAAATTTTGTCTAGTTTCCGGAACTTTTTGATTCTCGTCAATCGGATTTACGAGTCATGAAATAGGACCAAAATAATGACGATGGGTCAAACTGTCAACAATATCCTTTTTGCGTATTTTTGTGTTTTTTTTTCAGCTCTGTTCTCTCTCTTTTGTTTTTTTTTTTTTTTGCATCCTGGTTCTCATTTTAAATGTAAGTAAACATTATCAAGCATATTAAGTCTCATATATCTAAAAATATAACATTTTAATCAACTATATTAAGATAATGACCTAAAATCTATTTTCAAATAAGGCCAGAACCGAAAAAAGTTGATGACAAAATATAAGGTTTATAGAATGAAAGATTGTAGTGTGGAAGTGTTGTGGTTAATTGGCTAGCATTTATAGGTAAACTATAAAATTATTTGAAAAAAAATTAAAAACCCAACGTTTATCTTCTTTACTATTTCCTTCTATTATTCATGTTGTGAGTTGTGGTTGAAACCACATCTGGCCTCGCTAGCCATGGACCATGCGAAGTAGTGTGTGTTTCTACGTGGCCATGCTCACCTCACCACCATGCACGTCGTGTGGTATGTAGCACGCTATGTCGTATGTATACCGTACAACCTAACATATAAAGTTCACACAACCTACCGATTGAAATAGTTTCAAGGTTCACATAATCTATTGATTCAATTATTTCATTCTTCAAACGGTCCACAAAATATAATAATGCTACATCAATTCAAATAGTTTCAAAATTTATGCAATTTATGATTTAAAGAGTCTCAAAGTTTACATAACTATTTTTTTGGAATGAAAAATCTAATCTATTACTATATTATTCGTAATTTCACATATGTATAAGAATTGAACCATCAACCTTAACTCAAGGAGAAATGACAATACCGTTAGACTAGAAACCTTTTATTACATTCTATATATATATTAAATCTAAAGGAAGTTAGCAATAGTAACTTTTATGTCTTTAGGTTTTCGCCACAAATGTTTAGTGAATTTGACACTTTTAGTCCTTAAAGTGAAAACTTTTACAATTTTGTGTTTTGATTAAGTTTTTGTGCTTTTAGGGTTTTGCCACAAATCTTTAGTAACTTTGACACTTTTCATCCTTGCAGTGAAAAGTTTTATATTATGGTGTTTTTGCCACAAATCTTTAATGAAATTGACACTTTTCGTCCTTATAGTCAAAACTTTTACATTTTGACATAAAACCACAAAAAACCTCCTTTAGAATTTTCCCACCATATTTTCTCAACTTTGGCAACTTTCACATTATTGCCACAACATTTTTGGATTTTCTCCACTAGTGTCCCTTCTTTTGGTTGTCGTACACTTTGGACATCTAATTTTAGGGGTTGTCGACTTTCTCACCTATTTGCGGTGATTTACACTTTCAGCACGTATTTTTTAAAGTTTGCCGATTTTCCCCATATTACCCCAAAAGCGGCGTAGCCGCGAGTTCTTTGCTAGTAACAAATTAATTCCGAGAGTTTCAAAGTTCAAATACTTTACAAAATTGACCAAATTTAACAATATCACATACATTATTCACAAATTTCATGATTTCAACAATATTGCACAAACAAGTTTCAAAAATAAAATTGATGACATAACAATAACCAAATTATCAAATTAGTAAATTACAATCAGATACTATAAAATCACACATAAAAATTCAATATGTAACAAAATAATCTCTCAATCACCCATACAAATTTTGAAAAATTTAGAGAACTCGAAGATGGGCTTAATTCTCACCGACCACATGAATATAGTTTACTCTAGTTTAGCCTAAATTATTAATGAAAAGTTGTCTCATCATGACAACTCGTTGGTGGTCTCGCCCCCCATTCCTTTAAAGCCGGGAGAAGTGGGCGGTGATGCTGTTTGTCAAAGGAGGACATGGAGCTGCGTACACTAGCTACTAGAAAACAACGTATCAACGACCTACAATTCCTTCTCAATCCGTCGCTAAATGCTATCACCCACGGATTACCAAAAGAATTTCCCGTCGAAAAAGACTTTTTCGTAATTGTCAGCGATGAACTCAGCGAGGGATTTAGCGACACATTAGTGACCGATTAGCAATGACACAATTTACCTAAGGAATCTCTACATTCCATCATTAATCCATCGATGATACCTATTTTTCTAGTAGTTTGACTCAGCATAAACCACCCCCTTATCTTGGCAAGGCAAAGAAGAAGAAAAGTGTTTGTCTGAGGTAGAGCTCGGTGGTCTTGGCACCACTCCCCTGAGCCTGAAAGAAGATTCACCCCTGCCCATAATCACTGATATATTTGGTGGTGGCAAAAAGTTCGATTCCCACGTCGATGTTTGAGTACTTTCCATTGCCTCTTGTGACTCCAAAACAACCATATCAACCACTTCCACATCCCACAACACCCACTCCTGCGTTGCCATCAACTGAGGGATGTCATGGGTGACGGAGTTTCTCCATGGCAGGGTGCCGCCGTTACCCCGTAAGAACATCCCTCCTTTAGCTCGCAGCTTCACCAACTCACCTTCCTTAATCGGCTCCCACTCAATTATGGAGGTGTCCAATATGTTCGCCTGGATGTCTTGCACCACTTTATTCCCGGTCAACCCAGTCAGAAACGGTTCATCGGAGGGAGTGAGGTACTTGCCGGTGGAGCAGTTTTTTAGGCGGATGACATGCTTTTTCCCTTCCACTATCTCCACTGTCCACTCTTCTTTCCTTGGCAAGCCGTTTCTGCTTTGGAGGACAGTCTTTTCATCGTCTCCGGCGACCAAGAATTTGTTAAGGTGGCTCCGCACTCTGACGACTTTTGCGTTCTTGAAAAACTCCATTTTTTTTTTTTTGTAAATTATTGAATGGAAAAGTGTTAAATTGATTCTGTTCTTATTGATTCTTGTTCTTCTAACTTATCGTCGACGACTTTTGGTGGGTTGACCATTATGATTTATGTAATAACATTAGAAATTTGCAAGTTGTACTTGTAACGTGAAAGTTGGTGCTGGTTTTTCAATCTAATCTGTTTGCTTGCCAAGTGAATGTAGTTTAATGATCGATTTTGTCTCGGTGTTAATGCGTAATCACTTGACTCTAAAAACTTAAGAAGTGCAACTTGATTTAAGAGTGGAATGAGATAAATTAAAAGATTATGGTCCACTGGATTTTTGGAGTAAAATAACTAAAACTTATCATAAATGTATCACATGCATAATATGTCGAACCAAACTTGTCAAAAAAGATAAAATCGTTGACATTGTTGTTAGAGTATATGAAAACGGGGTGGTTATTGTAAGTTTTATTACAAAACTGAATTGTATGGATTGTCAAAGTAGGAGTTTTCTTTGTAAAAGGGGTTCTTTTAAATTTTGCTTATAAAAATGGGTTTTATTGACTTGTAAAAAAGGTTATCGCCACACTTCATCAATTTCTAATAACATAAATGGCCGTTTCAGTTTTATCTCATTATCATTATCAATTATGTATTTATCTTTTATAGTTTTTATTTCTATTTTCTACCTTCCATCAGTTTTATGCATGGATTATACATGGAGTTATAATTACATAAATGGTCCTTCAGTATTGTATTATTATAGACTTTTCAATTATACATCTTCCTTTTATTTTATTCGACTTTTCAATTATACATTTATCTTTTATATTATATTTTTAATTTCTACCTTAACCAGCTTTACACATAACATGTTTTTTTATTATAAATATAATATTAAACGTTATATAAAGACTTTAATAATTTATACTACTATAAATATTTCATTAACACCTTCAAATCAATACCAATATTAAATATTAATTAAATTATATATAATAAATAAAAAACATAAATATTTATAACATTAAGAAATCATAATACACTAAACTTGAAATTAATAGATCAATAAAATACATTGTTTACATCGCATTAAACATTGGTCAAGAATTTGGACAATTTTTTCTATTACTACCCTATTGGTTGCATGATGACGTATCCTCCGTTGGTATGTCATGACATGACTTACGAAGTGACATTCATCCCCACAAGACAACAACCCTACTATATAGATGATAATAATGATCAACAAGGAAGGTTGCCGCGACAAGGCCTCCTGACATGCCGGGCAACACCCTACTGTATATGTGATAATAATGATCAACAAGGAAGGCTGCCACGACAAAGTCTCCTGACATGCCAGACAGTAGGGCGTCACTACCCGGACGAGAATCCTTTGCTCTACACGCATACTAACCAATGACTATGTGAGGAAAGACGTCAGCAGATGGGTGTGTGGGCCATTATAATTATTCCCTCCTCACCAATCACTTTACAGGAGGATCATGACAAATATAGTTGGACCAATCCCGAGCTGGTACTCAAGATATTGTTACAATGGTCCCCACTCGATGATACAGAGTCCTAACTATAAAAGATAAGGAATGACACTGATACAGGGGAGTTCTCTAGATCATTCTCACTCATTCACACTTATTTCCTTACTTGCCCATCTCACTAGACCGTCGGAGCACCTTCCGGGGGCCTCCTATTGGGAAGTGATTAATGTATCGTTTGGTTGATTGTGGCTAGAAGTTGCCACCGAAGAGTCATCGGAGTAATTAAGTCTCAAGAGCAGAACGGCGTCACAACATTGGCGTCATTCGTTTTGTGAAAACGGAACGAAAAACCACACAAAAAATTTGCGTTGATAATGGCCGTCGAGGAAGTCGAGGAAATCGTTGAAGGAAGTGGGGCTTCCCGGAGCCCGATTCGTCCGATGCAACCGTTGGAAACCCCCATAGCTTCTGCACCGCAACCAACATTGCATCTGACAGCCACTACAACAATGTCGTCAGATCAGCCAAGTATGATATGGAGACAAGGATCGAAGCATCCCCAAACACCACCACCTTTTCCTTCGATAATTGGCACACAAGCCTCCATCCACAACCACCCAACCACCACCACTCACTCAAACATGACGATAGTAGGAGGTATGTTTCTAAGTCTACAATATAGTGTTCAAACATCACCATTCATAACACCAATATCACAAATGATGAACATATCCCTGAACGCACAAACAACAACTCCATTAACGACACCACCAATTTTTAGTAATATACAAACAAACCCTTACATACCACTACAAAATGCTGCAAACACTTATACACTACCAAATGTTTTTCCGTAAATGCCCTTCCAAACACCATATCTACCTCTCTAACAACCATATATACCTCTCCAGCAAACATATATACCTTTCTAACAATTATACACAACCCAAAACACGATGGGATGGAGTGTTGTCTCCCTTAACGACATATTTATTGAATTACAATATACCGAATACCTCGAAATTAACAACATCAAAAACGGACAACAAAATTACAGATCCCGAGAGTCACATTAATACCTATGAATGGACCATTATGTCTCTCAAAATTCGATTAAAGATTTTGGTGTATAGATTTTCCAACCACGTTAGATGGAAACATAGGAACATGGTTCAAAACACTAGTCTCGAGAAGTATAAACAACTTTGCAGAATTAAAGTATGCATTCCTAACGAACTTCATGTTGTTGTGACACTATAAAGGAGACACAAACACCATAATCAAATGCAAGAAAAAAGAAGGAGAAAGGGTAAAGGAATATTTTGATAGATTCACCAAAGAAACTATAGACATGCTAGGGAAGGACGAAGCCATGGTTACTGGAGCGTTCACATGGGGACTACTCCAACGAGAACGATCGAAAAAATTCCTTGGTAAAACACCGCAGACTCGCCACAAAATCAAAGAAAGGATGGAACGATACATAAGGCAAGAAGAAGGCATAACGGACAAACATGTTTATCTCAACGCCATAACTACTTCCAGACCACGGTAAAACGACCGTCAGAGAAACTACAACCCAGTAGATACTCAAAGCGGTCATAACATTCAGTTAGACAGTCAAGGAGATATAGGCCATATTACCAGGATGACAGAAAAACAAGACGGTCGGAAATATACACAATTTCCGATAAGCGGCAACAAAAGAACAACATGCGAAGGTCTAAATACTGTGAATACCATCAAAGTACGCTGCATGACATGGATGAATGCACCTCGCTACGACGGGAAATGGAGGAAAAACATTAAAAGGGAAATTTAAAAGATATAACACGAACTCTTTGAGCCGAATGGGAAGAGAAAAGAAACTCGTGGTGGCAACGCGCATATGACAACCCACCAAAAGAGAAGACGCAAGAAATACTGGCCATCCGAACACGACAAGGAAGAAATTACAGGACCGACGAGACAGAAGATCTAATCAGAAACATGATGAATCTCATAATCTCATTACGACCTACGATTGATGAATTGACGTAGGAATGAATCGCTGGTTATCCAAGCATGCATTCTCAACTCAGTAATCCACAGAGTATAAGTTCACATGGGGAGTTCAGCCAATATAACTTATGATCACTATTTCAGGCGACTATCCGAGGAGTGGAAAGTAGGCCTTCGTCCAACGACGGGATGATTGATAGGATTTATGGGGAACATCATACGGCTAATCGGAACGACACACCTACACCTGCCGCTTTATGGTCCCGATAGCAACAGAAAGAAAAATGTGTTGATAGAATTCGTGGTAGTGTGACACCCGACGAAACGCAACCTCATCCTAGGGAGAACATCTGAAGCAGACAAATTTGATTAGTCAACTTTGATGACATATTTGTTGGATTAAGGTGTCTAAGCCAATAACTAAATTGATATATTCTTGAATTCGAAGCAAAGTCATTTTTGGGTTGCCCTCATAATCAATAAGTGAATAAATTGACTTTTGGAGAGAGAAATTGATTTATTGATTTATTATGTGATTAACAAATAGCAATAAATAATTTGTTAATATATTATAAGATTAATATATTAATTAGAAATAGTATTATTTAATTAATAACTAATCATAAATGAATTGGATTAAGTAAAAGTGCAAGGACTTAAGCTATAATTGTTCAATAGTTGAACAAGAAAAGTCCCAGAACCTTCCCAAGAGGGGATGATTTTGAGGAAGCCTTTTTAGGGTTTCTGGATAATCCCTATGGATAATAAGGAGTTGAATAATTACCAAATTTAAAATATTAATATTAAATTCAAATTAGGGTTTCCAAGACTCCTTGTATCAACTACATATAAGACCCCTTACGACCTTATTTTTGTGCACTCTACCTCAAAACCTCAGAACCAAAAAATTGCTCTCTCATACTCTCTCCTCAAGCCTTTTAGTTATTAGGATTTTGGGTACAAGCGATTAGAGGCATTTAAGTTGTTGGTGCTTGCTTTCCAAGGAACTTCAAGAGGATTTGATTTGAGTATTTTCTTTAATAATCTCTTTATATGAATTTCGCTTTTCAAAGCCTCTCTTTAGGTTTCTTGATGTTCATTGTTTATTGTTATCAAAAAAGAAAACCCAACAGTAAGGATTATGTATTTTTCCGCTCATATGAATTTTTTATAACCTAGAAAACCAAACACTGGTATCAAAGCCTTAGTTTTTTTATTTGATTGTGCTTGTGAATGGATCAAAATTAGGGTTTATGGAAATTAAACCCTAATGGCTTGGATTTTCCTAAATGGCTAGGGTTCTTGAAACGCTAGCCTCCACCCCTTATTTTCGAAAATTTAAAGGTATCCCTTAGGGTTTCTAGCTTCCTTAATTACAATTTTAAATGCCTTAAAATTTGGATAATTAAAAACCTAGTAACACTAAACCCTTATTTCGAAAATTATAAGGGTTGTTAGGATTATGATTAAATTCGAATTATTTTATTAATTGTTTAACTGAAGGTAA